CCTGCAGGCCAGGATCGACTTGGTCAAGGCAGCGGCCGGAGACGCCCAACGTCGGTCCATACAAGCAGCCGAGGAGCTCCGCCTACTCCAAAACCAAAATTAGAAGATTTTGGTCCAATTCGAACATGAATCTTTAAAATTTCTCTTTTGTGTTGCATCTACGCTAAAAATTTCGTTTGCATAATATGATTTCTCCATGTATTGTAAATTGATTTTGGATCCATGTAAAAATCGTTTCACCTATGCCCGATCAAAGGGGAGTTTTTAACCCCACGTTGGACCCCCTTACGATCAGATCAGGTGATGCGATTTACGAATTAATTCCGTTTAACTCGTGAGGGGAGTATAAAAAATGAAGGTCGTACGCTTTTCGACTTCGAAAAGCTCGCCAAATCAATTCGCTATTTTGCGAATTGATTTGGCCTTTTCTGATTGGTCGAATATTTTTCGTCAACTCGAATCCATCCTTTTTTCGACCAATCAGGAACCTTCATTTTTTGCTCCTTACGTTTTAAACGACGATCTTTTCTTGACTTTCAGTATTGTTTCAGATTTTCCCAACGTCAGACGTGACCGTTCTGATTTGGGATCCGGCTGTTGAAAGCCCTCTGAAACGAAGTGCTTTTGGATAGTGATATCTGACGCTTATATGTATGCGATCCTTTGATGCTTTGGCCCCCCAAACTTCTCGATCATCATACTACTCCAAGTCAACCAGGGTGACGTAGATTCTTTTGAATCGAACATCCTCCCGCCGTTTCATAAATCCAAACTCTTATCTCGGTAAGACGGATTGACCGAAACACAGGGTCCTTTTTACCTTTTGGACAAGAAATACAACCGCACTTGAAGTGCCCCTTTTTCTGTCCAAACCTTGACTACAAAACTTTATTTGGGAGAATCTGACATTTCCGTTTTCCGCGTCCAGCGGTCCATTCGGGCTTCGGTCCAGGTTACTGCTTCTCTTTACGCTGACCTGATCGGATCTCGACATCTGGAGCCCAACGGTTAAGGCTTAACCCAAGCTTCGTGGATAAAAGGTAACTTTTATCTGGAGCCAACGGTCATTCTTAACCCGGTCCTCTTAAGATACCTGGAAATCCGGATTCGCCATCATGTCTCAAGATGGCCAAAGAAGCAACGAAGAAGACTCCAATGCAAATGTTAACCCCATTTCTACCAGTCCATCTTCAAATCGGAATACGCTTTCTGACGATCTTTCCCGCCAAGTCGAGACTATTCTCGCGGCGCTTCGAGATGCCAGAAACGTTCCGAGCGTCCCAATCCCCAAAGTCGTTGACGAGTACTCGTCTTATACTTATAAGGCTCCTCATTCTCAACGATCAGTAGCTGAGATTGGAAAATTAGCTGGCACTATCAAGTCCATCGACGATCTCGACGATAAACTTGAACTTGTCAACGAACTAATTTTCGATCTCGATACTACTATGGCTGCTATCATGGAAAAACGGAGCCTTTTAGCCCCTTACCTCCAGCCAATGTTGCGCATAGCGGGATCCCTCGACTATTTGACCGAAGGGATAAGAACTGCCGCTTCTAAAAAGAAGAC